TAAACCAATAATTTATGGGCATACAAGCGTTCGATCGTTGTGCAACTCTGAAACAAACTGTCGTGCTTACAAGGATTATATTGGTATATTATTCACTGGGTGTTGTACTGAATAGAATAGGAGTAGTACTAAACTAACGGATGACGACAAGCAACATCGAGATGCAAGGCGTGAAGCATCCGAATCTGAAGATGACGATATGTCATTTAGTTATACAGAACCCAGTTGCATTTTTTTTTTGGAGGATTGGTTGGTCTAATCGAGAAAGTACTTGAAACATTTGCCAGTTCTGGCGTCAGAACCCAATTGCATTTCTTTGGAGGATTGTTTGGCCTAATCGAGAAAGTACTTGAAACATTTGCTACTTCTGATGTGATCACGTGAATGTGTATAGATCTTTATTAGTTCCATCTCAGAAGACTAGCGAAGCGTGAAGCATCAGAATCTAAAGATTACAATACGCCATTCTCTCTTTTTTTATTTGAATTAGACAGTAGAGACACGGACACCCTATAAACATGTAAATTATCTCTCTTTTTTTAGATATATTTTAGTTTACTTTTTACCACAATATGGTGATTTAGATGCAAATTTAAAGATTATTTCAAATTATCTCTCGTACAAAGATGGGTTTTAGATGCATGTTTAGAGGACTATTTTATGTTTTTTAGTCATATAATGGTAGAAGTAGATAATTTTCTAAAAAAAATAAATAAGATTCAATGGCTATTGGTAATAATGATAATATAGTCGACCGAATTTGGATAGGAAACATTGTCGTGGTATATACACGCTAAGCAACATGCATGGTAATAAATTTTCCTGCGTGGTCATGATCTGCAAGCAGATTACATATTTGAACAACAAGCCAGAAACTTTCATTGATTTGGAAATTGCACAATGACGAGCCTCTTTGTTTTTTTTTTGTTTGAGTCTGTCTACTACACAACTATGTGTTTTATGCAGTTTTAACACATGATTTTTTTTGCACTATAGGATTAAGATCCAACAGCCTCCACCCTTCTTCGACCTCCAGCCTTCAGCCTCCACAGATTACAGATCACAATTTTTTTTCTATAGAAGGACAAATCACAGATCCGCCGCCGCCACCGCCATGGTCGGTGCGGGCGCGGGCGCCGGGGCGAGCTCGCCGGTCGCCGGCGCCGGCGCCGGTGGTCACCGGTGAGAAAGAGAGAGGGAGAGAGATAAAAAAATCCATGTGTATTTTTTTACTAAAACACATTTATGTTGTATAGCATTTCTGTTTTTTTAAGTGGACGACGAGCTCTGGATGCTGATGCCTAGTAATATCGATGGGCCTCAGCCTGTTCGCTTGTTGGTTTCAGCTAGCCCAAACCAACCAGCCAACAGTGTTTTTCTCTCAAAAAACCTAGTACCAGTCAGCCCAAACCAGCACCAGCACCCACCAACGAACAGACCCAGTGTGTGACGCTAGCGGCCCGTATGCTTGATCATTGATCCACATTCCACAGGCTGTGATCGGTTCCCGCCTACCTGGATTGCGCCTCAAACAGATAACGTCTATTCGGTTTTTGCGGCCCAGGGGGCTCCTCCAAAATACTGACCAGTTTCATTAATTACATACACCATAAAATATCCTTTCACAGTATACTCATTTATTGTCATAAACATTTGTGTCCTTTTGTATAAATTCAGTAAAATGTACTCCCTCCATCCCAAATTGTAAGTCATTCCAAGAATCTTGGAGAGTCAAAGCTTCTCAAGTTTGACCAAAATTATAAAAAAAATTACAAAGATTTATGACATCAAATAGGTATACTATAAAAATATAATTAACAAAGAATCTATTGGTACTTAGTTGGTATCATAAATGTTATTGTCTTATTATATAAATTTGGTCAAATTTGAGATGCTTTGACTCTCCAAGATTCTTGGAATGACTTACAATTTGGGATGGAGGGAGTAAAAAAGAGACTTAAGACAACTCTAAGAATTGATTTATCCAGAAATAGAGGGAGTATCATAGAATAGAGAAAGTATTTAATTTGGTGGCATTGATCTACATATAATTCTGATGTGTTTGATTACTCCGTCCGTCCAAAAATAATGCAATTATGGGGATCATGCCAGTCAAACAATCTCAACATTAACCAAATTTATAGTGAATAGTATTAGCATTTATGTCTCTAAATAAATTTATTATGAAAATACATTCTGTGATTAATCTAATGATGCTTATTTTATATCTTAAATATTAGTATTTTTTGTATAACTTTGGTCAAAGTTCAAATCGTTTGATTTCTCAAAATGCGAGAATTGCACTCTTTTTGGGACTGAGTTAGTAGTACGTTAATTTATAAGATTTGTCTTTTTCTCTAAAGTATATCATATGAAGATTAAGGTGGAGTTCCGTTGGGGGGCATCAATCAGGTGAGTAATATCAAGTTTATGTATTAAGTTGAACATAAGCTTAAATTATATCACCTCTTGTTGCATCCTTTTAGTCACACTATTAACCTATTTTCAGGCTTCAAAATTTTATTTTATTACTAGTTGTTGCAACTTTTCATCCATACTTCAAGTAAAACTGAAGTTCTTGTTGTATCATCTATTTGATTTTTTTCTTTGTATTTTATTACAAAATAGGTTCTATATCTAAACTACACTCCTAGTTAGAGCATAAATTGCCGTTTAAGCCTGCACCACCACCATGACAATCAAGATACAAACGTATTTGTTATACCAAAGGTTTACATGTGCAGTATTATTTTCTTAAAAAAAAGAATATACAGCGCTTAAAATTAAAGCACCAATATGGCCCACTTAAATGAATGGCATTGCAAGGCCGTGCTCATCTTTATATAATATACTCCTTTTGCATAAAAAATATAATATACTCCTAAGCATGTATTCTCCCTCCATCCTAAAATATAAGAGACTGAAGTTTGTTCTAATAAATCAAATTATTATAAATTTAACTTTGATAATAAATAGAGAAAGGCATCAATACTTACTACCACATTAATAAAGATAAATTACATTTCCTAATAATTATACTTGTTTAATATCTAAGTGTTATTGTTTGTTCTCTATAAATTCGGTCAAAATTTATAATATTAACTATGATCCTTTACAAATATGTCAGGACGGAGAGAGTCTACATCCTTGTAACGCAGGTACCATGCATATTCTAGGTCGGGTACAAACCAGTCGCGACTCCTCCAGAAGTAGGACGGGTATGGATCATCTGGACGATAGTAATGCAGCGACGACGAAGCGTCGGCTGTACCGGGGCACGGCGGCACCGGCAGCGGCACCAGGCTCGCCCTGTAGAGACACCGGCTGACGTTGCCGATTTCGCCGTAGTAGACCCTGCTCACCTTCCTCTTCTCCTTGACGTCGTACAGCAGCAACTAACCGGCGCCGACCACCAGGAGCAGGCCTCCCTCCACGACAACCACGGCCTGGTAGATGGGCTGGAACTCGGACTCGCGCAACCGCTGCCAAGGCAGGTCGATCCGGAGGCGGCGAGCCCAGGCGGCGACGCTGCTGCTGGGGTCGCCTGCTGTTTCAAGGGCCCAGACGTCCATGTGGAGCGACCCTTCCGCTACCGCCGACACGGCGAGCGTCCCTTCCATGTCGAACACCCGGAGGTAGTGGCGGCGCGTGAGCGGAGGCCGCGGGATCAGCCGGAACTTCTCGGACACCGTGTCGAACGCGACCAGGTCGACGCTGGTGCCGGACTCAGGGTGGTGCGACCAGTACAGGACGCCGGCAAGGGCGACGCACGCGGACGGAGCCACGCCCAAGCCGCGGGCAGGGCCGAGCCGCCGCACGGCGGCGGAACCGGTCGAGAGGATGTAGTAGTGGAACGGCCCTGTTACGGATACGGTGGCGGCGTCCGAGGACGATGGCGGATGATTGTCGTGCTGGAGCTGGAGGCGGCCGATGCACAGCAGCCGGTGCTCGCCGGACGGCTCGTGGAAGTAGAGCCCGGATGGCACGGCCGACGCGCAAGGATCCGGCGTGAGCGACGTCAGGACGGTCGACTGCCGCGTCGCCGGGTTGCAGATGAGGAAGGTGCCGTTGTCGCTTGCTGCAAGCAGGAGGAGGCCGTCGCGAGAGTCGGCGAGGCGCAGCGACCTGCCGTCGTCGAGGCGCAGGAAGCGGCGGCACCCCAAGTAGTCGCTGTTGAGAGGGTCGAGGCCTGCGAGTATGTTCTTGGCGTTGCGGTCAAGATGGTAGCCGTCGGGGTAGACGAGGAGCTCCAGCCGCTGGTGGCGGGAGTAGGCAGCTACGAAGGTGCGGCAGGTGGTGATGCGCCGCCAGCGCTTGCTTACGGCGCGGCAGCGGAGGACGGACTTGGGCGGCAGGCGTAGGAGGAACTCGGCTAGCACGTCGTCGACCAAAGAATCCATCACCGGTCACCGCCTATTGAACGATCAGGCCTCCGATCCTACTGTTTCTTTCGCAGGGAACGCACAAAGGAAAACCCCCGTCCGCTCGCCTCGGCACCCTGTATATATGTATATGCATGTATGTATCCGTTTTGTAGACGTACACAGGACAACTACCTGAGTTGGATTAGATAGCATGTTCAGGTGTATAGTACTCCTGCTACGCATCATTGAACACGATTCGGACTCCCAACCTCATGATAGCAGCTTTTTTTTAGGAAAAAAAAAACACTTCATGATAACACAACTTATAACTGCTATAGACATTACTCGAAGCAGATTTCAATACTGTACCACAGATCCACAAGTAAAAGACGATTTATGTAGAGCAGAGCACTATAACAAAGAACCGTACCTATTGGAAACCTATTGAGCACTATAACAGGTCCATCCGAGCATTTGTTTTGTGTGTAGAGCAGAACACTTCTAAGTTCTAACAAAGAAAAACCTACTGACAACCGATCCGTGTAGAGCAGAGCGCTATAACAAACAAACCTATTAGAAAACTAATGACACGCTCGATCCATTTCTTGCGCATTTGTTCACGTCAGTCAATGCAACCTAATTACCCACACCACGGTACATCTCCACTTTATCGTAGACCGGTCTTCCTCCCGAGGTAGCTAAGGCAAAATGGTTGACACGGTGTTGGCTCCAGCGAACGGCCAAGCATTTGCCAGGTGCTTTTACCTCATGTACAACCTGCTCAAAAGAAAAAGGAGAAACAACACACTGGAGTCATATAAGGTAAAGGAACTAACAGATTAAACGATTTCTCCACTAATATTCCTACCTCGCCCTTCTTCACATTCAGTAAAAGAAGCTTCTCTTCAGTGCATGCTAGCACAATTTCTTTCTCAAATGGACACCATGATATCGCCACAATGGAATTGGTATCACTGAACTGGTGCAATGGCTTGTCCACTTTCCGAACATCCCAGACCTGTTTAAGTCCAGATACTGTTGATTGTTGAATGAAAAGGAAGGTTATGTGGTGGGCTTACAAAAAATTGCTTATCAAGTTCGTGTGTGGCTGGATTATTTCAAGACAAGCCGCAGTGGCAACTTTTAGAGGACTTTTGTTTGCTATTTGGTTTCTTACTCTTTTTTTCAACAAAGGGAACCCAGCTTTTAAGTAGCATATTTGTTACATCCAAACAAGCTACCACAGCAGCACAGAGCTGAACATTAATTTACCTTACAGTAGTTTCCAGAAGCTACGACCATCGTATTTTTGTCAGTTGGGCACCATTCTACAGCTGAACAAGTTTCCATCGAAGAAAATTTCCTAATAAAGAGCAAATTCGTTTCATTAGTAACAACCAAGTAGGTATTTCCCTAATAGGGAACAAATTCGTTAGTACAACTATGCATTTGAAGCATAAGAAGAAAATTTACCCAATCACAGATGATTTGGCACTTATATCCAAAATTTTAACACCAACATTTGATGCTGAGGTAATAACATTGGGTTTAAGAGCATTCCATGACAGATCCGAGATCTGCACATTATCATCTTCATTATACTGCAAAAAAAATCAAAATACTAGATGGTCAACCTTAATATTCTTTTTAAGAAAACCAAGTAATCAAAATCTGGGCGACATCCTATCCAAACCAGAACTGGAAACACATATTCTTGGTTGAAAATATCTTCTGACATTATTGCAAAAGTATGTCAGTAAACACATATCCAGCAGCTTACAAAACAATAAAATTTTATAAATACAACCATACCTACTATATTTCATATAAGTTGTGATATTATTCAAATCTCTTCTTATATATAACTAAATAGTAAGTCAAAACACCAAATTTTATGCATATCCATCCATTTAGACAGTTTTATTCATTAAGAAACCATTGTCTTATTTTAGTACCTGAAAATGGGGAATTCTTTCTGCAGAAGGGTTGATAAGATCCCATATGAGTACTGTCCCTTTTGCTCCACCAGAAGCAAGAAAGTGTGGTGTTGTAGGGCTCAACGACAAACCGAGTACCTATACAGATTGATTATGTAGTCAGAAACCAGATAAGAATTTTCAGCTAACAAATGCAATATAGCTAAGAAAAGATAAAGTCAGTACAGCAATTATAGTTAATCTTCAATAACTTGCCAGTGTATAAACATCAATAATAAGAACAGCAATAGCTATCAACACCATGGCTTTTTTTAGGCATCGAAGCGAGCCACCATGAAGGGGCTGAATATGTTAGAATTTTAGTAGCAGGGAAACACACACATGAACAGTGACAAAATTCAATAACACAACTATGACTCCAATAAAATCAATACATGTGCTTTGTGTTCTATAAACAAAAATCCTGGCGTAGAGCAAAGCGTGCACACCAATCCATGAACCAATGAGCAGAGCAGAGCACAGAGTATGATAACTGATTAGTAGTGGTAGTATGGCACATACCACACAAGCACAAGCTGTAGACAGTATTGTGATACAAAGTAATTTATATAAAAGTATGAACTACTTTATATAGCACAACCAGCAGAGCAAACACAACAGAGAGCACAGCTGCACAAGCATAGCAGCCTGACGCCTTGCAGCAACTAGGCAACACCAGATCAGATATAGTGAACTCCATACACACACGCGCGCATGTCAAGACGACACCGACGCCCAGCACCCTTAGCACACCTTGTCGCATAGGTGACTACTCATAAACCATGATCAACACAGGCCAAACTGTACAGTTAAACTTTGTCATCTCCGGCTCCTCTTCCGTCTCCTTGCCACGTACCGTTTCTGCCCAACGCCCTCAAGCCCGCGGCCATGACCGGCAGCCGCGTTCAGCCGCTTCGCCTGGCCGCGTTCCACGCCAGGCATGCTGGAGCTGCTCCACCCGTCCGTGCTCCGCTCCTCGCCATGCCGGATCCGCTTCGGCCTCCCAAACGCCGTCCCACACGCGGCAGCAAGCACCCTCCCTTTGGCTCAATCCCTTCTGCGGCCGCGCCATTTCTCACGCCGGCGGCCGGCTGCCGCGCGTATGCACAGTAGGAGGAGATGCGGAGAACTGGAGATGGCAAAAGGGAACGGAGAGACGTGGAGATGGCAAAAGGGAACCGATGGATGGATAAGAGGAACCGTCAAGGCAAGGATAGATATGTACTAGTATTTCTTTTTCTTCTAATACTGATATTCTTTTGAAGGAAAATAGTTTTCTTTAGTGATAAAATCGTAGTTACCTTGCTAATGAACCCATAGTACTAGTTGACATTTTTTTTATCAAATACGCAAAAGGTTTATGCATCTTTCTAATGAGTTGAGAAAGTTTTTACACGACGTGTTGTTTTACAGCGCGCTAAGAGGACAACAATGAATACATTTGAGCAAAGCCCCTCTAGCTAGGCGTTCCTTTGGTGATTACTAGTTGACATCAAATATTAAAATCAAAGAGATAGGAGCACTATGGACATTTGATATATTTCATCCATTCAAAAAACAGGAAAAACCATTTTGTCAAATGTTTTTCAAAGCTCCTTTAGAGAAGTTGCTTCTTCAGTGAAACCGGAGCTAGAGCTATTTTTAGATGAGCCAGAATCCTACCAAACAGACCCTAAATCTTCTACACGTGTGCGACTTAGAGTGGATGGAAAGCACATTTAAACATAAGCTTAGCCCAATTCGAAAAATTATCCACTTTTTTTGTTTTTTGGTTGATCTTTCTTTAGTTAAACTTTCCCCTTTATGTTCCATTTCTATTAATTTCACTTTGTTGCTTTTTTCCTATGTTCTTCTTTTCTTTTTTATTTAGTTTATTTTATTTAAAAAACAACGTTGTAGTGGAGAAGTAACAAGAAAATATGGCTTTCAATCAAATCAAAACAGCTCCCTTTCTAGTACCTTGCACGTTAAAGTAATTGAAGAACAATAGAGTTTGCAAACCCGACAACAATGAATAAAAATATAGACCGTCATTTAGTTATACAGAGCCCAATTTTGTTTTTTTTTGGATGATTGGTTAGTCTAATCGGAATTCCGCCAAACGACCCAAGCCGAGATAAGAATTCCGTCGAGATTGTTATGGAACCGAAGTCAAAAGTCAGTATGAACAAGAGACTTTGGTGGTGGCCAATTTATGAGAGACCAGAAAATTACTGGGACAACATGAACCTCTCCCCCCTCTATAAAAGGAGGTGAATGGGAAGTTGGAGGAGAGACACAACATATGTACATGTATACACAATGAAACACTAAAGAGCTCCCTTCCCTCTCTCATTCTATGTTCTTGCGCCTGTGTCATGATAAACCGATTTCTCAACAGAGGTACGTTCTGGGCCATGAACTAGGACGAGAGAGTGGGGACTGTAAGTCTTGCCACATATTCCCATCACTAAGACAAAAGCCCATCTAAATCGGGCCAATAAATTAGCCCTTGGAGAGGCCTTGCCTATCGAAATCTAAGGTTTAAGGTCTCTTTGGATCCCATGGTCTAGGACCCCATTTGGATCTATGATCTATAGTTTTGAGGCTCCAATAGAATATTTAAGGTGTTGTTTAAAATCTAGTCAACCATATAAAAGTTTTATAGACTACATAACTAAGATAAAGTGCGCTAAAGTTTTTAGTCCTTATCTTTTTAGCCAACTAAACTTTAGACTATAGTATTTAAACAGGGCCTAAACGTTAGCCACAAAACATGAGGCTCTAAACATGTGGTATAAAATTATCGTCTGAAGTTTAGCCCATCTAAAAGATCAGTAATCTATTAGACCATATACAAATAAAATTTATTAGACCATACAAATAAACTAATATGTGATCTAAAATTTAGCTTTTAACTTGACTATAAACTTTACGCCATATGATCAAACACGGTCATACAGTTCCACTTTTCAAGGACATATTTTCACGGTCGACAAACATGTCCCCACAGAACAATCAAACATTCATTCTCGCGCGAGAAAAACGGACAGATCCCATCTCCAATCATAGCTACCCGCTTTCATCAAATCATTACGGGCCTTGGCAAGTTTCTGAATCTGAATATAAAAAAAAGTATAAGAGGCGGACCAGTACTATTTTCGCATCATAATAAAGTTTGAAACCTGCATGGTCCTCGTCCCTACCGCGATCGATCCCAGAGCCGAGCCCGACAAGAGCAAGGCCCATGCAGCTGCCGCCAAAGCGCCACGCGACGAGCCCGGAGCCCCCACACTGCGATCCCTCGCTCCCCAGTCCCATACGGACGGCTGGGCACGAGGGAGACACCTCAGTAAACAAAACACATGGCGAGCCATCAGAGCCGTATAAAGGCGGCCATGGCCACAATAACTACCACGCAACAGTCTCAGATTAAAAATCGCATCATCATCAGGCTCCCCCGGTGTGTGTGTGCCCCGCGCGGCCACACGTCACGCAAGGTTACAACGCAAACGGCAAACCAGCTTACCAGCCGAGCCGGCGGATCGGCGGCACTGCGATCCAGCGGTAGATTCAGGCTAGCAGAGCCGTCAGGCGAGTCACATGCCTGCCTGCCTTCAATCTGTCATGACCAGAGCACTGGGCAATACTACTAGCAGTGGTACTACTAGGATTTACTGCTCACAATCACTCTTTACACGCGAGTAAATTGCTTCAGCGGAGAGCAAAAAATGGCTACGGCTACGGGCAGTACAAGTTGCAAAGGCTGCAAGCTCGAACTAGTAGATAGAGAGAGTAAGCTTGTGAAGCAAGCCGCCATGGGTTCCGAACAACAGATGACGCACACACACGCGAGACGAAGAACCTGGCTGCTCTCCAGTCTCTGCCGCCGGACCGTAGCAGAGTGCGCACTGGAGTTGCCATGGCGCCATGGAGAAGGGAATCAGGCAGCAGCAGCACGCTAGGGGTCGTACAGGCGGCCGTCGCAGCGGCATTTCCACCCCAGCGGCTTGTAGTTGGAGTAGCGCGAGAAGCCGGCCACCGTCACCGCGTCGTCGGTGACGCGGGCCGCGCGGCCGAGCCCGGGCGCGGTCGTCACCTGGACGGGCATGCAGGGGTTGCAGGCGCTGCACCGGTTGTGGCAGCTCGGCGGCGTCGACCCCAGCCGCGACTTGTCCTCCGCCAGGTTCTGCACCTCACAAACAACGCAACGCACTGTCAGTCTCAGAGACGCACGCAAGACAGGAGTCAGGAGGGAAAACGTCGTGTTGGGTGGGTGGTGACTGGTGGCTGACGGTCTCGTGCGTACCTGAGAAGGGGAAAACGTCGCGGTGCGGATGCTGGTCGCGGCGCCGAGAAGGAAGCAGAGGGACACGGCCGCAATGAGCGCTCGGCGAGGTGAGCTCACGGCCATGAGACCATCCCTTCTTACAGCCAGGAAGGATGGATGGATGGATGTTTGGGCAGATCGATCGAGGGCAAAGGGAAGCAGGGAAGCTTCTTGCTGGTGGACCGAGGTTATTGAAGAAAGCTAGCTACCTTCTGCCTCGTGTAGGCTCTTCCATAAACTAAAACCTAGTAGTATAAAGCTTAGAGAGATGCTGCTGTAAAGTAAAGCTATGTGGAGGTGGCTATGGAGACGAGCAGTGACGGTGGCACAGGAGCACAAGAGAAGCAGGTCACAGTGGCCTATGACGGGGGAGGTTTGCAAAAGGGAGCAGAGGAACGAGACGATGACATGGGCCATATATATATGTACAAACGTGGGGGACGCCAGGACGCCACGGCCGGATGGAGACCACGGCAAGCATAGGACCGGTGACCACCACCTTGTAAACCTATCACTGCTTGGTTTGGTTTAACACAGGCTTCGTCCATACCAGAGTGGCGCGTTCTACTGCGCCCGCCATGGCGCCATCGCCTCTCAAGGATCGAGGAGTGAAATGAAAGGAGAGGATCGGTTTGGATGGCGTCACAACTGTCGCTATCGTTCTGGGGACATGGCTGGGCTTACACTTTGACCGACTGTCGTGTCACAATGATTGAATGGACTAACGAATGGATCAGCTACGTACGCAACGCAAATGAATCGGGGATGTATACGTAGGTGATGGCGAAGGAGCAAGCAAAGGAGGAACCCGCACCGTACGAAGCTGATGAGTGCTAATGCTGGCTGCTACCCTACTACTACCAGCTAAGCTATCTACGCTAGCTGAGGCAAAGCTCGGATCTGCATATATGGATGGTCCAACCTCTGAATCCTCCCAGCAGAGACGAAGTAGACAGGCGACCTTGCATGCATGATGCATCTGAGTCCCTGAGCAACCCATCGTCCTTGAGCAAACACCAAGCAGCAGCTTCCAGCTGAACAATGCAGGGTTCGGTACGGTTGATAATCCAAGCAACGAAACTCTAAAATAATTCAAGCAACGAGCATCTCTCAGCGGTGGCCACCAGGACACCCTCAGAAAAGGACCCGAGGTTCACAATCTCCGTTACTCGTGTAACGACTACAGTACTGAGATACTGTAAAAGGAGTCATCGAACCACAGGTGTGTCCATCGAACGGTCAAACATTCGGGGCCTTGTTCCTCATGTAATGCTATCTCCAACAACAACACCCAAAATACAAAACTTATTCGTCCTTTAGTAGCGCTACAGGCAAAAGGTTACATAGTGGCTGTTTGGTTTCTCCTTATAAACTTTAGTCGTTGTCCCATCGGATGTTTGGACATATACATAGAGTATTAAATATAGACTAATTACGAAACTAATTGCACAGCTTGCGACTAATTTGCGAGACGAATCTTTTAAGCCTAATTAGTCCATGATTTAACAATGTAGTGCTACAGTAAACATGTGATAATGACGGATTAATTAGGCTTAATAAATTCGTCTCGCAGAGTACTCA